TTATTTTTTACTGAAAATTTTATCAAGATGGTACTTTAGAGAGGTCATTTTTTGATTTTATCAATAGTCATTTAATGCCACGTGAAAAACCACCAAAAAATTACGAAAAGCCGCTAAAAATGGGATTTTAATTTCTAACGCTTTGTCTATCGCCATAGAAAAGAATAAAAAATATAAATATTATAATATTAATTCAACTTACATGATATAAAAATTGACAATATTAAATATCTAGTCGGACAAACCGTCTCCACTCAGAATCGTTTTTCTTATACAATGATATTATATCGTTGAATTCAAGTTTAATACAATCCATTATACCATGGCCCACCTGTAACCTACTGTACAGCAGAGCGACATATACAGATATACTTACCCACTTTTTTTTTATAAATGTTGTATTATTGTACGCTCAGTCAAAAAGCTTGGAAATTGAGTACGAGATTCCTTATAAGTTGTACCTTTAGAGATTTAAAAATATATATTTAATGGTATGATATGATAAAAATTATACAGGTATTTGTATTGTTATTTGTTGTATACCGCACGTATACGATGAAAATAAGAGTTATACGATAATATATTTCGGAGTGACAATAATTGTGACATTATCTAAATACACGTTCTGCAGTCTAACATAAATAAGTGGAAAATATATATTCTCGAATTAAGTCGAAAAATGAGAGTTTTAATTTCAAGATTTCATAATGCCAACGCTAGTATAGGTATACCTCTATACGATAATGACGGTAGTGTTTTGTAGTTTGAAACAAAAATTAGATACATTTAGTATTTACAATGTATGTTTTCGAATAATTCAGTAAGTACCTAGGTAAGTAATTCAATTAATTGATATTTTACTTACTCTTGTTTTTTTAAGTACCTAATTCAATGGATTGCGAGAAAAGAAATACGAGGGAAATAGAAAATACTAATCTAATGTAAAATATATTATATGGACATCAGACTTGGGTAAAATACTTTTTAAAAGTATTTATAAAAATTTATTCCGAATACTTAAAAAAAAGTATTCAGAATATGTATTCGAATACTTTATGATACTAATATTCCTAAGTATTCGGAATACTTCACAAAAAGTATTCCGAATATTTTTCGAATAGGTAGGTACTTTTATTTAGATTTCAATAGCAAAAATATAATTTCTTCAATTCTGTGTTTAAAAACGAACATTATTATAATCTCGATAATACACACCCATCCGGCTAATTATTAGTTATACATTGTATTCAAATTAGTATAATTAATAAGTAATAATTATTAGGTAATTTATAAGAGTATGCCTATATAAGAAAAAAAGTATTCCGAATAATGTACTCAGAATATTCGTAAAAAGTATTCAAAGTAGGTACCTACCATATTGACTATTGAATACCTACTTAAAAAAAAAAGTATTTAAAAAGTATTCTACCCAAGTCTGATGGATATAATGATATATTAATATATTATTATATCTTCATTGTGCATTTGTGGGCGTCCATTATATCCTGTTGAAAAATTATATGTACAAAAAAAAAAAACAAAAATTATAAACAAAGTAAGCCCACGATTTTCTGCGTCAATAGCGTTAGACATTATTTTGTATAGGTGTGTTATAATTAGGGTTCGGATTTCAATGCATTTGCATATTTTTTTTGGGATATCTTAAGCGATGCTTTCCAAGCTACAAATATGTTTCAAGTACTTCGCAATCCAACCATAATAATTTTTTGGGGCATTTTTTTACGGTTTTAAATTTTAATGCATTTTTTAATTTTTTAGGACATATTTGACCTATTTGTCGTATTATGACTTATTGGCAGACAATCGTCGATCATTTAAATTCCAAAACATTAAAGAAATTCTTATTGTACAATGCAATGCAAATATAATTTAATTTTTAATTTTAATTTTTTTTTGTACATTGTAATATAATTTATTAATTTATAATTTATAATTTTTATTAGAATTTTATTTGTTCCTCATTTTTTAATAATAATTAAATTTGAATTTATTTAATAAATAATGCATTTTTTGATATTTTTAGGGCATTTTTTTAGAGTTTTTAGGTCATAAATGCATTTTTTGAAAGGGCATTTTTTTGATATTTTTAGGGCATTTAAATCCGAGCCCTAGTTATAATATTATACACCTGCAGTGTTGCCGATCACGATATTGAAGTAAGTGGAGAATAGAAAATTCATATTACCATTAATTGGATTTTTTTCTGTAGTTGTTCGGTAAAACTATGGTAAAACAGAACACACCGTGTGACCTTAATAATAAGTAATAACTAATAAGCAATAGGTAACTAGGTGATATGACCTATTGGATCAATATCACTAAGGTTGAAAGGTATACCAGATGGCAGATAATTGCAAATTTAAAATAATTGAAGACCCAAGAAACCTATAGGATGTAATCGCAGTGGCGGCGGGATATAGGACTATTTGAAGCAATTGCTTCATGTCAGAAATGGGTGGGTGGGTGTATAAGTAGGTATATTTATAATCGTAAGACCTCAACACAAATATCATGGTAAATATTTTAATTAATAATTATTAATGGCCCCTGCTGCTAATTTTGGTTCAATGGAGGGTACGGTGGTAAAAATATTTAAAATATACAATATGCTTCAAAATCTCCACAATTTCGCGCCGCCACTGTAGTAATCGTAACCCTTTACAGGGTGTGACCAGGGGCGGATCTAGGGGAGGGTTCAGGTGGTCAGCTGACCCACAGTTAATATTTTCTGATCAAATTGGCCTCTTTTCAGATCTTGAGTAGTTGGACACTTAAATAAATACACATATAGTATAAATTAATTTTAGATTCTGAGTGGCACGATGAATCTATTGATTTTACAATGTGTGTTTTTTTTTTTTGATTTATTTTTGTGTCTGTGTACACGATAGGTAGTCGAAATAATGCTTCGATTTTCAACTTCAGTATCTTGTTCGATTGGAAAGTGAATCTAGTTGGTGCATTCGGGAGGTAAAATTTTAAAATTCCCAATAGTTTTCACAAGCGCCGGGATTAAACACATAAAAATTAAGGAATAACGGAAATTTTTACTCAAAATCTGTTTTCCAAAAAATCGATTTTGGTTTTTGGTGTAACTCTAAAACAAATGAACGTAAATACATGAAATTTTCACTGGTTGCTTATATTTGCATTTTCTATACACGATAAAATTTTTAAAATATTATGATTTGTTTTGAACTGTTTAGGGACATTTTCATTTTCCATTTTTTTTTTAGTTTTTATTCTAAAAATATCAATAAAATTTTATTTGTTAGCTTAGAAAGCTTGAAAATGTATTATAAGGCTCCTAGTATATTGTTTAAAGGCAGATGAAAAATATTAAAAATAGTTAGTCACAATTTTCTTTTATAAGCATTTAAAGTTCAAAAATTGACAAAATATGGAAAAATCACGAAATATAGAAAATTATTTTGAGTTTTTAGTTTTTAGTTTTTTTAGAATTCGTAAAAGTTTTTCTTTTTAAATCTAAGATTTGAAAATGTAATACAAGATTACTCATAAGTTTGTCTAAATTTATCAATAAAAAAATCTCTACCGGAAAGTTAAATTAAATTTTTATGAACGTTTCAAATTCAAATTTTTACAACATTGATATTCACTCGATTTCTCATGTAGCGATTTCCTTATTTTGTTGTAATTCAAAAACAAATAACTGTAGATAAATGAAAATTTCAATGAATGTTCATATTAGCATTTCCTATACAATGTACAATTTTGAAAATAATCGTTTTTCTTATACAATGATATTATATATAATTATAAATTCAAATTTAATACCATCCATTACAGCGACCCCCACTTGTAAGTTGTAACGTAATGTACAGCAGGTTAGGTATACAGCAAAAATATTTTGACTCTTTTTGAGCTGTTTACGGACATTTTAAGTTTTCAATTTTTTTAGTTTTTTTTCTATAAATATCAATAAAGTTTTATCTGTTATGCCAAAAAGTGTAAAAATGTAATATAAGGCTCCTGATATATTGTTACAATATCAGTTGAAAAATATTAAAAATACATAGGCTGCACAATTTAGTTATAAGCATTTAAAGATCGAATTTTGACAAAATTTATCAAATTTAAAATTGAATAATTATTTTGTAGTTAAAAATGTATAAAATGTTCAACTTTTATATCTAAGGATTGAAAATTTAAAACATGATTTCACCATTGTAGTTAATTCTGTTACCAAAAAATCTAAAAAATACATAAGCCCAGGTTATTTTTATAGTCATTTTAAGTTCAACTTTGGATAAAATTACATAAAAAAAACCTAGAATAAATATTTTAGTTATTTTTTTGTGATTGTGTAATATTATTCGTGGGTACTTGAAACTTCTAAAGTACACTATTATATACCTATGGAGTATGGACTATGATAGTATCAGGGTTTGTTGTTGACGTATAACGCATTATAAGTACCTATATAATGGATATTGGGATATGATTAATTTGGAATTTATTATAGGTACATTTTTTTTAATACGATAGACAAGAAAATAATATGCCTTATACCTAGACTGACATACCGTCTCCGCTCAGAATCGTTTTTCTTATACAATGATATTATATCATTGAATTCAAATTTAATACTATCCATTATACAGTGACCCACTTGTAACCTACTGTACAGCGGAGCACCTTTTTTTTTGTTTTATATACCTAGTACACAAGTATAGATTTCTAATTTGGTTTTAATAAGTGGCTCCTTGAAATTTCCTGACCCACAGTTTCTTAACTCTGGATCCGCCCCTGGGTGTGACATTGTGACAAAGCGACGAAATGTCCTAAATACCACTTGGAAAGTTTAGTAGTGGCTGATATTTGATAACACTCTATTATAACAATATAACACTGAAAGTTACTTTCTCAAAGTTATTTTCTCGAATGCGAATGAATATTGATCCTTTTTTTTATCCCAAGCGTAACGAGACAGAATGACTATATAGGTACATCACAATATGTTATTGCGAAGTAGCAGACGCCATCTACCGGAGGCCATGAGCGCCACGCGAAATAGACACCAACTCCGAGAGATGTACAAAAGACAAGACACCGCTCTGCGCATTGACGCAAAAATGGAACTTTCAACTTTCAAGCTTGGGGACATGGCAAGTCAGTACAACCAACACACGGGGAAAAGGTGCCCACCAGAAAAACGCAGCAGAACATCACGAAAATCGTGATAAACCCACACCCGCCAATTGCCTATCCAGCACCGCCGAGGAAAGCTCGGAGGTGCAGATATACCGCCGCCGACCCAAACACCGGTACATGCCGTACATCCTTCTATATTATACTTATCTAGTTATCTGTGTCTTCTCCTTTCCGTTCGGTGTGAGCAAGCGGTACGGCTTTGACCGTACTGTTCGAGCTACTCGCGTTCTCAGAGTTGGAGAAGGAACGCGGGGGCTCAATTCTTGAAATCATACGACTAATTCTCGGGTGCGACCTAGAGTCGTACATTTTGTCGACTGTGACAAAAGTTTATCGCACGCGACATAAAGTTGGTATTCTTGAACTGAAATCGATAAGATTATTTCGCTTGTCGAATGCTATAAACAAGTCGGATGAACCACTATGAACACAAAATCTACATTTTAACCACAAACAAATTATAAAACATAAAATATTTAATTTTTATCTTTTATCAGTAAAGTTTTATCATCGAAATTTCGAAAATCAACGATTTTTACATTAATTCATAATTTAATAATTATTGTTCTTTTGAATTCTTTCAACAAACCTTTAAGTTTTTTTAATTTTGTATAATGCTACCGTGCTACTGTGTTAATGTTTTTTCTGAACAATGTCCAAATCAAGGCCTAATAAATTTCAAATGAAGTCTCTAGTTGAGCTTATAGCCGGTGCCAGTAAGTTTTTGTTTGATGTAACTATAGCTAGTACCCAAATGTTGCTGAACTTTAATTTGATCGGTCGATTAATAATTATTCATTGTAAAATAAAATACTAGTAGTTAGAGTTGTTAATGTTAGTGTTGGAACATTGATTTAAATGTAAAAGTCCCGTATTAACTCATGTATGAGAAATTAAATTAACTTAAAATATTCATCCAGAAAAAATGCACCCATGTACGAATTCATGCAATTTAGTTTAATTCAACTCTTGTTGAGTATTTCAATAGTACATAAGTTTTTTTAATTTTGTATAATGCTACCGTGCTACCTACTGTGTTAATGTTTTTTCTGAACAATGTCCAAATCAAGGCCTAATAAATTTCAATGAAGTCTCTAGTTGAGCTTATAGCAGGGCCGTTAAATTTTTGTTTGATGAAACTATAGCTAGTACCCAAATGTTGCTGAACTTTAATTTGATCGTTCAATTAATAATTATTCATTGTAAAATAAAATACTAGTAGTTGGAGTTGTTAATGTTAGTGTTGAAACATTGATTTAAATGTAAAAGTCCCGTATTAACTCATGCATGAGAAATTAAATTAACTTAAAATATTCATCCAGAAAAAATGCACCCATGTACAAATTCATACAATTTAGTTTAATTTAACTCTTTTTTTATATATATATATATATTTATACCCTCGGCAGCATTGGGCTTACAGGAGGGAAATTACAAATTACATAAATTGTAAACTAAATCTAAATTATTCTAAATTTTGGTTTGAAGATTGGCAGCTGTAATGAATTGGATGATGTTGACTATGGTTTTGTTCTTGAAATAATATTTTATAATGCTCCTAAGTACTTGAAAGATTCCATCAAATACACAGATGATACAATATTTATAAATATGAATATTTATATCCAGTGGCGTAGCCAGGATTATGAAATGGGGGGTGTTTAAGTATAGATTAAAACTAAGTTTTTACAGTTTTCGTATATAAATAAATTTAGGGTTCGGGACTTGACTTGTTGCACTAAATATTATCGAAATATGATGCAGTCAAAGTTATCAAAATATTCTTAAATATATACAGCTACATTTTCATATTATTTTTGAAAAATGCATAAAACATACTACAATTTTGGTAATAAAAAAACTAAAAAATAAGTAGGTATATAAATAATTTATACACGGGCTTACAAATTTTAATATAGGTAGGTATATTGATTAATATATTGGATTAATATATTTATTATATATATTAATTATTGATTAATGTGATGGACGGAGTACACTATTGCATGTTTTGGACATTTTTAAACTATTGAGAAATTAAACAACTTGATTTTAAAAAATACTGGAATAAAATACTAGGTTAATAAATATGTAATAAAGAATAACGTGATATGCGAACACTGTAATAAACGAACACGTATATCTACTGATTTTCATTTCTTCGTACAATCTAGAATGTAGATGTCAATTATATTTCTAACACAGTCTTGTCACAAAGAGACTTATAAAATCTTACCTACCGAAAATAGGGCAAACCGTATAGCCAAGCTCCATCAACAACTTTAACAGCCCTCCCAATTATTTACTAAATTTTTTTAATTCAATTTTATAATAGTAGGTATGGTTTTAGGCTTCGGCCTCCTCAAATCTCAAAATTAGAGCCTATTGTATCTCACCAAACATAATATTTTTAAAGATATTTTTCAATGTTATCCAAATGTGATTTTTCCCAACAATTGTATGTACCTACATTTAAGTTAGAAAAATGCAAAATATGCATAAATATGCGAAAAATCGCTCAAATGTACACTTTTCCTAAAATATGCAAATTCAAACTTTGTTTGATTAGACATTTAAAAAATTTCATAAGAAAAATTTATAACTTATCTATAATAATGCGAGGAGTCCCAAACCCTATAAACAATATTTTTATTAGGGAGGAAAATGTCAATGGGGGGTGTTTAAACACCCAAACCCCCCCCTGGCTACGCCACTGTTTATATCATATATACAACAAAATTAGATACTTGTGAAGTAGTTATTTTGAATATTTTCAAAATGTATTTGTATTAATTATATTCAACCACTTTTGAAAGACAGTATTTAAATGTGTAGTATTTGAAATACTAATGATACTATTTAGTAAGTATCTTAACAAGACTAATTAGTTTTCTGATCACGATCTAATTAATTAATAGTTTATATCAACTGTCCAACATCTCAGATTATGTACATAATATTCTAAAAAGGCCTCATATCCTATATTGTTACGTCTATATTATAAAATGTATTTTAGTATACGTATATAATAACTAATTAACAATTATGATTTGTATTTGATACTTTTAATTATAAGATAATTAGAGACATTATATCAATGACCTTAATAACACTCAAAAATGCCCTATAAACTTCAAAAAATCACCTAAAAAGTCTACTTACCTACATAAGTGAAAAGAATTTAATTTAAAAATAATTATTATGATTAGAGATATGGGTGTGATAATGGATTTCAGAGTAATTAAAAAAATTAACTGTAAATACTAAAAGTAAAAAACATTTAAATTTTAAGTTTAATTTACAGTAAAAAAAAATATATGAAATTATTAAATATAAATTTAAAAATAATGTAGAAATAATAAAAAATATTATATTATTATAAAAAAAAACCCACAAATCTAAAATATGAGAAAAATATGCAAAAATATTAAAAAATGAAGTTAAAATTGCTAAAAATGCAAAATAAAATTACTATATTCTTCATCAAGAGAGCATAAAACAAATTTTTAGCATTTTATATTTTTATAGGATCTAAATAAAAAATTCAAGTCATCAACATCCTACCTCTAATTATAACCTATACATAAAAAAAAAAAATATTTACTTACTGTTAAGTATTTACCTAACATTAAATATATTTTAAATATAATTAATTAGATAGTTTAATATAATAAATACTAATACAACAATATAATATGTCTTGAATTGTCTTCTATATTTTTTTCTATTATAGCAGACAATAACAATGACAATAATTTCAAGCCATTAGTCATTGCTTCCTATAAACTAGGTAAGACTTTTTCATTCATATAATACACATGTACTTACATTATATTTTATATTATAGATCTAAAAAGAAAAAAAACTACCAACTACAACCCAGTCAGGCGAAGCTGGAATTAGGTTGAGGGACATAGCACAACAAAAGTGCCATCTGAAAGCTGCATACTATCAATTATCAAAAAGAAATCGAAGCAAGAGAATAATGTGTTAGTAAGAAACTTAGGAACAATAATTATTAACAGTAATTATTACTACATTTATGACTAAAAAATTACCAAAATAACTTAAAAATTATAGGCATACAGTTTCTATTTTATTAATAGTTGTAACTATAGGCGCAACTAGGGTTAAAATTCTAGGGGGGCTACAGCCCTCCTAACAAAACTATGAACTTAAAATATCCCATAGGGTGCCATCCCCCCCCCTAGTCCCTACATACAATCAAAACAAATTTTAGATTCTGAACCAAGAGAAGAACATAATATTGGCTTTACAACAATTTGTTTTTTTTTATGTATGTGACACTATCGTGAGTAATGTAGGCCTATCATAAAAATGGTATACTCTACTCAACATTTTATAGCAACCACTAGTAATTAGTATCTTACTAGTTTCTTAAAAATGTAATATTAATTATTATTATAACTAAATTTGTTTACCTCTAATATGAGAGTAAGAAAAAAGAAAACAAGTCAACTTTATAGTAGGTAACATTTTAATATATTAACGGTATTTTTCTATTGTTAGCACTTGAAAAATCGTTTAAAATGTCTTCACTGTTAATATTGTTTGATATGTCTCTCTCAATATGAATGATAGATAAATTTGAAAACCTTTCTTGTATCATAGTAGACCGTAACCATGTTTTGACTCGCCTCATCGCAGAAAATGACCTTTCACAAGTTGCACTACTTATTGGCAAAGTATATGCAACACCAAGGAGTTTGTATAGATTTGGAAAAGTAGCTTCATTTATGATACTTTTCATTTGCTCTGGATCACCTAATACCTGATCTTGATACACAGTTTGAAAAGCATTTTTTGCAACAGTCATTTCCGCCATTAATGTATCAGTATCAATTTGAAACAGATCCTATAATACAGTAGTAAAAAAATATAAATTAAAGCATATAATCATAATATTTATTGTTTAGAGATTTTATTGAAAGATGATGTATTCTTACTTTATAATGGTTAATGAATAATTTGCTTTCTTTAAAATCAAGTAGAAAAAAATTGTCGACTGACTGAGCAAGCTCTAAACTTTGATCAGAAAAACGATGAATAAGATTTTCAATAACAGAATCAAGCACAGCATAATATTTGATTCGCCAAAATGCTTCATTTGTTACTTGAGCAGAAACTTCTTGTTGAGCACTAGTTGTAGAAGTTACATAAAAATTTCACAAACGTGTACTTTCAACTCTTCTTATTTTCGACCCAAGACCTAAAAATTAGAATGAATATAAATTACTAATTATAACATTGATATTTTTACAATTAGAAAGTAATATAATTTGAAAAAATACAAATTAGTAATTACCAATTGTAGGTTTCTCAATCGAAACTTGATGCTTTTTGGCAAATTCAAATTGATTCCAAATAACCAAAAATTTATCATCATTTCGATAATCTTTTAGACTTTGTATTACAGAATGAATTATTTGAGCTGCTTGTCCTAGAGTGGCGGTTTTTTCTTGTAATCTATTACTCAGAATGTTTACAACAAATAAAATTTCATACAAAACAAATAGATGAACCACAAATCCTGGTTCCTGAAGTAATGATAAAAGTAATGATAGGATTTATTGTGTATGATTAAAATTATTTATTATTTTCAGTTTAATCTAACCTTTAGCTTGTGCCACATCTCTATCATTGTTATCTTCAATTTCTTCATTAAGAACTTCAATTAGAGCAGGATAATTTTCCATAATTACTTTACAATTATGATAACGACAAGACCAACGTGTGTCACTTATTCGAGTTATACTTTTGTTCTTAATCTTGAGTTTATTTTTAATTTCTAGAAATTTATAGTTGGTAGTAGGCATAGCAAAATGTACATATACTGCCTATAAAGTATTAAATAGACTTTTAGCTTCCTAGAAATAAATTAAAAATGATTTATAAATACTGTAAAATTGTAAACATAACTAAAATGTATTTATATTTCATATTTACATTAACTGACTTGCACATATCTATTACAAGTTACAACTAAATTTGTCCTGTGTGCCATACAATGTGTGTAGATTGCATATGGATACTTTTCTTGATTTTTTTTTGAACACCACCATGTTTCCCAGACATAACACTTGCTCCGTCATAATTATTATGATTGAGCAATTATGGGAACATCAATTAAGTTATATTTTCCTAGAAAACAAACAATTGCTGATGTCAACGATTCTGAATTTTGATTTTCAGAAACATTGATGAAACCCAAAAAACGTTCAAAGATTTGAAAATGATTGGTATATCGAACGCACAATGCCATTTGTTCTTCTTTAAAACTTCTAAAAAGATATATTTTATTATAAAAAATATGAGCTAATAACATTAGGTAGTTAGTAACTCAGGTATGGTTTATTACCTGGCTTCATCACACATTATAAAAAAAAAAAACCACATTTCTTTATATCAGTGCTTATAGTTGAAATTACATTATCTGCGCATAGTTGAACAATTTGATTTTGAATTGCCCAACTTGTATAATTAATAGGTGTTTCATATTTTTTGAAAAAGTCTGTGTTATGTTTAGCTATTAATTTACATGTTTCTAAAAAATTACCTGAAAATTACAAAAATTTTTATATTTTACCAATATTATAATATTGTTTAATTTTGAAAAATAATAATTATAGTATGTATGTTTATTAAATGTTAATAAATATTGACGGTTTATAGAAATTTGTTCTCGGTTTGCAGTTTCTAAGCTAGTGTGAACAGAACCTGACTTTTTTGTTTGTTTAAGAGCAAACCATTTTGCTGAACATACCAAATGGTGATTAGAAATGCCATGAAGTTGTAATTTTGATTTTGATCCTTTCCCTTTAGAGCCACTAAGCTGTAAATAAAAATAATTAATGTCTATATTTACCTACTAATAACTGTTCACAAATGACTAGGATATTTTTTTTAGGCTACAATTTTACGTGTAATATTTAAAATTAATAAAGGATATTTTTTGGGGGGCTAAACCATAGCCAGGGGGGGGGCTAAGCCCTGTAGGTAGAACCAACTATTATTAATATTTAAACAAAGTTGTTTTATAAGTATAATTTATAACTTGTTTATAATAAACTGAAAAAGTAAAAAACAACTGAAAATATTTTAAACAATTGTATTTTATTTTTATGTTTTTGTTTAAAAAAACTCACCTATAATATGAAAATAATACTCACTTTTTACTAGAATATTACTTACTTAATTGAAAAAAATACTCACTATTCTCACTTTTTTTAAGAAAAAAATTAGTAGCAACCCTGTTTATATGATCTCATATATTGTTCTTGTATATCTAAAAAAAAATTGTATACTTGTTAAAAGTTTAATAAAATACGTTGTTATATATTATTATATTTATTTTTAATAAAAAATACATCTGTAAATAATATAAATCTCAAACGTTTTAAAATAAAATAATATTTGAGTTAACACGTTGATGGACAATTTTGTGGCCGCAGTGGAAAAAAAACGATCTTTAAAACGTAAATTTTCATTACTGCTATAGCAGTAATGCTTTTAGTACTGCTGTAGGGTTTTATGTTACAAAATTGTCCACTGAGATGTCGAAGGACACAACAATCTATCCCCTCATATGACACCATTGACAATATCACTGCTATAGCAGTGATGACAATTTTTGGAAGGTTTTTATGATACTGCTATAGCAGTAATATTTAAAAGTGTCCCCCGACATCAATTTTTGAAATTACTGCTATGGCAGTACTGCCCACCAACGTGTTTTAATACTATAAAATAAATATCCAACTATTTTTTTCAAATATTTTTATACTGTTAAGTTTTATATTTTAATAAGCACCTATAGAACCAAAATATTTGGTGCCGAAACAATGTTAGACAATTCAATTTACAAGAGATGTTACCTACATTTTTAACACTCCGTTACAGCTCAATAATATACTTCTAGTTGTCATTTGTCTTCTACTATGATACACTTCAGTGGCTTGGCGACAGTAGACGCAATGGGTGTCAACAGCCATTGACGCAAAGGCTAACGAGAATCTCCCAACATTTTTTATTAAAATTAAAATAATAAACATACAGGTGAGTTTACATTGAGTATTTTGAATCACAAATCTAAAGTATAATATTGTGTTATGCTGTTGCCTATTAGTTATCTAAATTAATAGGTACCCAATATGTAATATGTAATAATATATACTAATAAGATTTTAACGTTCACACAATTATTGTATGTTATTTAAGCGATATCCATGACGATTCACATAGTATAACATGTGTATTCAATACTTTGGTTGTCATTCAGAATATTCAGATTCAAATTGGTTGAAGGTGTATACACGTGTACATCGAATAAATAATTATATTTTTAATTCATTATTCATATTTCATAAATAGGAAATTAAATACATTAGCTACTCACTACAAATTTCGGTGAATTTGTTCATGTTTTTTGGAAACTAAACCCGATCACGAAATATTTTAAGTCGGTTTATTCGAGCAACAACCTTGCTCATCCAGCGAGTACCTATGCTGTTGGTCGGGATATAGATAAAGTGAACTAACTTTTGTTTTCAAGTTAATCACATACAAATTACACTTTAAGACTACCAAGTCATTTTTGGTATTTTTGAGTTCTTTATAAGTATATTTTTTTTTTGTGTTAGTAAGTCATTTTCACATTTTTTTAAAGATTTTTAGGTCATCGAGTTCCGGGCCCTATTTATAACCATAAACGAATCACGAGAATTATTGCACGAAACTTAATGTAAAATAATATTACAATTCGAAACAATATCAATCATAGAAAAAGATTAAATTATATAGGTATCATCAATATTATAAACTGAAGAATTTCAAAAATTAATATAATTTCTCAAATGTTTGATAACGTAAGCGATTATCACTCGACTAAACTTTGTCACCGGCAGTTTACCAGTCGACAAATAGTCGAATGTTTTTCGTTCGACTAAAGTCATACCACAATACAGTGGCGCACCCAAGGGGGGGGCTTTGGGGCTTAAGCCCCCCCAAAAAATATTTTTTCATTAAATTATACATTAGTATAGAAAATATAGTATAACAATGATAAATGATAATGTTTTATTTTAAAATTTTGTTATTATGTTAGATACACATATAATATATACATAATAGTTCAATACTACGCGATAAGGTTTGTGACAATCAATATACCTACTCTACGGTGGCTATCGTCGATTTTTATTTCGTTGAAAATTATTTTTAGATTTATAGATACAATAACGATTACGTACGATCGACTTTGATTGTTAACTACGATAACAATGATAATTATGACTTTCGACTGTCTGTGGCATGAAAATCTCGTTTAGATAATTCAGTCTGTTCGATTTTTTACAAAATTGGTTATTTAAAAATTAGTTTTAATTGTTTACTTGTGTGTAAGGGAAAAAGAAAAATTATTAAGCCCCCCCCAAGCAAAAATTCTGGGTGCGCGCCTGCCACAATATTATTAAAGAATACCAAATATTTATTTTCAAAGTTTATCACGATTTCAAGAATTGGCCCCCAGCACCATCTGTACGGTGTACGTAGTGATACCGATACGGCCCTGGTGCGTATTGTTCAAGCAACGTCGCGCCGTACGGCAAAGAAGAAACGTTGTCCGTCGTCGCCGCGCATTCTGAAAAGTCGCAGTACCAGAGTAGTAGTAGACAGTTGTAGTACCTGCGCATTCTACCGCCGCCGCCGTTGTGAAACGCCGCGGTACCCGCACGTCCCATCAAGACTAACGAACACGTCGTAACGTGTCGCTGTCGCCGCATTGAGCATTCACAAGAACATAATTCTGTTGCCCCTCGCGCACTATTAGCACTAAAGGGCTCTATAATAATATGTGAGTTGCGCATCCGACATTTCGTTTGCAATAAAATATTCTAGATAACAGTAAAATACGCCTAATCACAAAACAACATAATAGTTAGCATGACAATATTTTGTCATGATAGTATTATAGTAGAAGTAGGTAGGTGCGCATCATGACAAATTGTTATTAATTTATTTTGTCATCGGACGCGTTTGATTTTATGTAATTAATTTCTTTACGTCTTCTCAATATTACATTAAAGTGGTCGTGTTCTGCCGTAAACTGCGCGAATCGAAGTAGTCAGAGTCCATTCAGATTTCCGACACAACTTGAACGCAGAAAAATTTGGATAAATAATACCAGAAGAGCTCAATGGCAACCTACGGAATCTGCTCGTCTGTGTGAAGTAAGTAATATTTGATATTCAATAGTGATTAAATAGGTGTAATTCTGTTTATTAAAATTATCAGAGCAACACAAAAATGTAGAAACGTAATTTCTTTCAGTAGATTTTCATACAAGCCTACCGAATTAGCCTAAAAATTATTAACGTTATCATAGTTTTAAATAATTAACAAATGTAGGCACACTTAAATTAATAAATACACTAGGTACCTGCCAGAGTTGGGCAAAATTTTATCTAGATAATTATTCGAATAAATCTGTATTCGAATAAAAAACTATTCGAATGTTTTTTTTACAATTATTCGAATAAAAATGTATTCGAATAAAAAACTATTCGAATAATTTTCAACTATGGTTATCGAATAAAAAACTATTCGAATAATTTTCATCTATGATTATTCGAATAAATTTTAAAGACGGTTATACGAATAATTCTTAGTATTCGAATAATAATAGTTGAAAATTAATCGAATAAATTTTTATTCGAATTATTGTAAAAAAAATTATTCGAATAATAATTTATTCAAATAAAATGTTATCTAAATAATCATCTAGATAAAATTTCATTCGAATAACGCCCAACTCTGGTACCTGCATTTTTATGATTTATCAAGGTTTGAAATAGGGGCGGAGTGGGAACCAAATCCTGGCCGGAAGTTTAAAATTTATCCAGGCCACCCACCAAAATTTTTTTTCTCGCTGAGCTCGAATTTGGTTTTTCTATTTGCCTATTTCAGTATTATAAAAGTATTTCAATCACTTTCTTGCTATTTCTTTTAACTTCTGTGTTCTAACACATTATATTAATATACCACTAAGTACTAATACCTGAAACTCTGAAAAACAAAATTAGGTAGTAGGTATTTTTTAATAGTTGAAGCCAACGAAATATTAATAATTGTACATTATACATTGTGTTTTAATTGTTTAGGTATAGTAGGTATAAGGTAATAAGTAATAGATAAATACATACATTATAAACAATATAATAAAAAAAAATGTATACATTCATAATAACAGTTTAGATAAAAGCTTAGATTTCTCACCAACTGCAACACAACATTTATAATATTAATATTATTATCTTTTTCCTTGAGAATTTTATTTTCAATGGCCATTAGCATAAAAGACTCAAGATGTTCATTGGTCATTGAATTTCTCTGCCCGTTTTTTAAATCCTTCAATGTTGAAAATGACCTTTCACATGAAACTTGTGTAACAGGGAGGGATAAAATGTATTGACATGCTATACCTAGTTAATGTCGGGCAAGCATTTGCAAATAAATTATATTTAATTAAAACATTACAACAATATATTACACAGTTTTTACAAGACTTGTTACACTGTTTCACAACACCTGTACTCTCTAGGTCTTCATTTTCAGAGTCACTTCCATATGATTGTTTATTATAGTCCTCATCAACAGATTTTTTTTAAAAATGCCACGATTTTCCAAAATTAAATAGTTCATCAGATAGGTTGTTTTTTATTTCATTTTCACTTAAATTATCATCAATAATGTGAGATAATTTTGTTAATGAATCAGTCGGAAGTCCACTTTTTAATAAACTGAAATTTAATGGAGATTATAAAGATAGGTCAATCAACAAATCATTATTATTTGAAAACCGTTTATTCATGCTTTCAATAATAGTGTCTAACACTCTGTTGTAAATTTCTATGGTAAATTTTTTTTCTTCTACAATTGGTTCATTGTTGCTTTCATAATTTACCATTTTTCTTTTCTTAGTCACACGTTTGACTTCAAATTTGCTCTGAATCTTTTCAATCTCTAGATCTTCACTAAATTCATCTATTCTCTTTTGTATCTCATTATTCACTTTAAGGATAATCTCATCACCAACTTGAATTGTGTTGTCCATATTTCTCTGAATCTTTTTAAAAATAACAATGACCAAAATAAGTGACCAATAATACAAAATTAATATGTATTATCATTGATTATTATAAATACAAAATACTAGTATTAGACATTAGTAGTATTTATAATCAATGGTATTATTAGTTATTATTATCCATTTGGCATTGCTATATTCGTCGCCACTCAACAGCCCTACAGGGTACAGATAAACAACTTGCAGGTTTCATCAGGCGGAAATGCGCCGAATCAGTAATTTATAATTTCTTGGTAGGTAATTAGTTCTGTTGGATTGAACCGAGACCACACAGAATCTGGATGTTTTATTATAAAATTAACCTACCTATATACATATTATATTGCTTTGATTTTATTTGATGTCTATATATTTATGTACCAAATATTTTGTAATTCTATATCCTTATATCCTATAATTTTGGACCATCAACACAATTGAAAATATATAGGTACACAGTGAGGAATACAAATGTATAATAGTTTAGTACCTAAAGCAACCTTTTAATTCCTTTTATAGTATTTTTTAAAATTAATTTAGTAATTTTAGACACAATTATTAGTTAAATATTTAATTTAATTAAGCAAATATGTAGTATTATGTTGGTACTTTACAGTCACCCTTCAAATAATAATAAAATAATATTTTTTATTATTTACTGAGTAAATAGTTTAATGTTCTAGATACTTGATCGAGTTTGAATGTTCAACCAAATGAAATTGAAAATACAACTGGTGCAAGTATGCAGTCATTGCAGTCTGTAAGTATAAATTTTTAATTCAACTTTATCAACTTGAATTATGTACAAAAATATAGCACATACATTTTTATTGTAAACTGCCATTAATCAAATATTATCTATTTAATTAATTGTTGAATGTTTTAGATACCTGATGATTCTGCATTAAATGTTGGACCAAATGAATTTGAAAATACAACTGATGAAAATATGCAGTTATTGCCGTCTGTAAGTATGATCATAAAATAAAATATTAATCTAACTACCTATGTGATTTGGCAAACGGTAGTATTTATGAAACAATACATTTAATTATGTTTTCTTTGTACTATGACATACACTAATTTATTTTTGTTTTTATTTTTATTTACAGTCATTACAAATAGAAAATGAAGTGTTGAGTAAGGAAAATGACCGTTAAAAAAGAGCAAATGAGCAGTTTGTTAAATATCTAGAACAGACAAATGAAAATTTTAAACAACAACTAGAGGACCGATCAAAGTTGTTGGAAAATTTTTTGAATAAAGACCAAATTATGGTGTTGTCAACTAACAAAATGCATGAATGGTCTAAAGAAACTATTGTCAAATCACTAAACCTGAATCATAGTGTTTATATAATTCCAGATGTTTGCCACTTGCTCAAGAACTTGAAAAGTGCAATACTTCGCACAGGACTTCATATATTCAAGAAATTGCAAGAATTTGAAAAAATGCTAAAATTTGTGTCAGGAGTTTTGAGTTCGTGATCTTTGGCAAGCAGAAGTATCTGCGGAAAAGCATTTTCGCTTACTTCATCATCTTAGAAATGAAGATCTCAATCCCTCAAATTTTGATAAGATAGGAGCTACAATACGATTTTTTTCATTGAAAACTGCTGCAGGTTTAGAATTAGCAGTAAATTTAAAACTGATTCACGAAGAAGCCCTTACTACTGCTTGGTTCATAAGGCAAGTGCATCAGTGGTTCCAGTTAATGAATTCAAGAGTAAGAAAAATAAGTATCACTAAACGCAATAAAACTGAAAAGCACAGTTTTTTTATAAAATAATTAATATCTTTGAAGGTATATCATTTGGTAAAAGTTGGAAGCCTCTAAATTGCGGTGTAATTCTATCGACCTTATCTGTAATAGATGTAACAGATTATTTGATAATGTGTGGTTATGATTTTGTACTAACTCACCAATTCAATCAAGATGCACTGGAAAATATATTTTCACAAGTTTGTCGCAGAGGAGGAACAACACCATCTGCTCTTGCATGTTTTAAGAGCTCTAAAAATCATAACAACTTCACAATTCATTTTGGATGTGAAAAAAATCTTCACACTGTTCTGACACTTACGTTTTCCTCGTTGACTATTTTTCAAAGAAGAAAACCCGAGTCGAAAAAGTTAATTCTCGTGTTCCTGTTATTAATACAAATTCCGAAATTGATCTTTCTATGCTTTTAGATACTTATAGTTTAGATAGCTTTAAGAAATTAAATATGATCAAAATATGTTATTTTTTATTGGGGGAGTTGTTGTAAATAAATTGCTTAAAAAAATATTATGTGAAGAATGTAAAATATTTCTAGAAAAAAACTCTTTAACATGTTGACTGCGTATGTCTTTTTGCAGTTTTCCCCCAGTGTGTATGATAAAAGTAAAAAAAAAAGAAATTAAAAAAAAAATATAAAGAAACTGCTCATAACGATGTATGTATACATATTTAAAAACATGCGTTTAATCCACGCTAAATAATAATAAAATAACATTCAGCCACGCGTAGGGAATTTTAAATCATTTATTTTAAATGTATATTAGACGCCATATGGCGTCAAACGCGTTGCTGAATGATACTTATGACGCCAATTGGCGTCAGTACGCAGTGAACGTGTTAAATGATTCAAAATTAAATTATAACTATTATGTAATACAGTTGGATAAAGGTGGCTTGATAATATCCAAATTCATTTGTTTTCAATTAATTTTAAATTGTGATATTGTCGATAAGACATTTTTAAATTATATTATGCATAATAACTCAAAAATTATAATAGATAAAATATGTAATGATATAAATATATCCTTCCCCTCTTGTTGTAATATAAAAGAGTTCATTGTTAATTATTTTTTTACTATACGATCATTTGTCTTAGTTAGTTTAAGTTATGCAGTTAAACGTAAAAAAAACTATGTATGGTACTGCTACTCTAAAGAAAAAAAAAATTGATGTAAAATTGATTATCCATATTAAATATTGTTTTAAGAATAAATTGTTTTGTTTTTTTTTTTTAAATTTTCTTTTATTTAATTTATAATGTGTTAACATTTTGTTAAACGGAACTTTAAAAAAATAAGATATATAAATTAATGGGTTGAAAATAAATACTTGCATGTGTTGTCTCCGTCTTACAAACGTACAACATTGCAAGTTTTAATATTATAGTGAATTTACCTATCATTAAACTTAAAGGTAAGAATGTTTCTTGTTTAAACATTTTTGTTTTCCAGAGCATAACAAACTGCCAACAAGTGGTCCAATCTGCTATCTTTCTTTGCAATTCCATGTTTTCTTCAATCAATACCATACATCTTTCAAAACTAAAGGAAAGCTCCACTGATAGTGACTATAAGACAATAATTAAAATTAATGAGTTAATAATCACCTGGGTGTATTGCATAATGTAATTTTGAATGTACCTACTTATGCAAAAACTTTTGTTGATAAAAAATCTTAAAAATCATTGACACAATATACTGTCTATGATAAAAATTAACTTAAAATGATTGTGTAATGAACATAATATGACTATCTGCAATAATTAAATGTCTAATATATTAGTCCAATGTTGTTAAAAATACTTTTCAAAAGTATTTAAATATTTTTAAATACATTTTTTTTAGCTTTATTATTTTCTGATTCTTAATTCTTAAAACTAATTATTTGTTTAATTTAATAAAGTGTATTGAATATAGAAGATAATTGTAGGCTTATACAGAATTCCTTTATTTATAACAAATTGTGAATGTAGTTATGTTTAATTTATGTGATTTATAACATATACAGTTATCCTAACTAAATAGTAAATATCTTGTTTGAAAATTTTGTATTTAATATTTTTAAATACAAAATATAATAATAAGTATTTGAAATATATTTGAAATACTTCTGTCTAAAAGTATTTAAAATACAGAAAAAGTATTTAAATATTTAACAAGTATGTATATTACCTATGTTATTTATTATAAGCCTAATAGGTAGAAGAAAAATTTAAAAACGTAGTGAATAATTTTAATTATTCACCTCATTTGTTTCTTTATTGATTGTAATCTGTCTTGAACAACCGCCATATTTATCAGTTGTTTTTCGTGATTGATTCTTTGAAAAATTGTTAACGATTTATGAAACTGCGGTCTGCGACACTCACAAGTCATATTTATATAATGGTAAATGATAGTACAGTACTACTCCAAAATGGCGGAAACGCTTACCTTCGTATGTAGCTCTCTACTATTACTATCGAAATATAATCGAAGTACCTACTCGGAACAGTACACGGATGCCACTACGTATTTCATTACACACCAATATACCAAGGATCTGTGATTTTAATACTGTGCCACAGCCACTTGAAGTTTAGGTATAAAAAAAAATTACAGGGGCAAGCTGGTGATTTATCCAGCCCACCAACCACTCAAATTTGAAATTTTGCTCTACACCATTCAATTACCAACGTGAAGTTGGCCCTCGACTTCACATTGAGTTTTAGACACTGGTTCAAACTTGTTCAGTTATAATCCAAAAAATATTCATCATCATAAATAAGGTGCTCAGAAGTTTAAATTTTAATATAAAGTCATATATATTGCCCCCCCCCCCCTTAAATACGACACTGCATGTGACGTACGTGTAAATATCACTTACCTAATAAATTATTGAAATCTGATGCTGACATTCTTAAATAACTTTAAATCGTTTGGTTCGTTGGCACTCAATTCTTTGAGTATAGTGACATATGACCAAATATATTTCTGTTGCCAATCCAATTCTTAACCTATTTTGATCTATTTTTTCGTTTAGACATATAGTCATAAACTGCGACTAGACCAGCTGCGGCAACAATCTATTTTTTTGGTTGATACTTTTCCTATTTCTGGTATCCATCGTAAGTTACAGGCACGTTATTTATTATTATTTCGTTGGAAAACTTCGTTCTGACTAAGTTACACAACTTAAAAAACCGTGGTCTTTTAAGACTTACT